ACACTGAAAGAAGATAATTTGTCTAAGTATTTGTGGTGTAGGGTTTTTTTGTGTTTTATGCTAAAACTGATGAAGTTTAAAGTAATAAGGGTTAATATAGCAGACTTGAAGTTAGATTTTGTTCTTGTAGGATGACACAACATTAGAAATCCATTACATTTCATAGTTCTTCACTAGGAAAGTAAAGTAGGGCAGGCTGAGCAGGGAAGCTGTGGAATTTCTATCTTCCAGAGGCTTTCACAACTCATCTAGAAAATGCCACTTGGAATGGGAGGACAGATTAGCTAATGAAACTCTACAACCAACCACCCGTAACCTTTAGGTAATCCTGCTTTTCATCTCTGAAAGACAGTAGTGCTTGTGTCCCACAGCAACACTGAAAAATCCCCGAGTGATGCCACTTTAAACACTTCTCCTCAGATCAGAAGCTTTAGGACTAAATGTGAGGGCAAAACGATGGTGTTTTTTCTTCTAATTCAGGTAAACTGAATTTGGATGGTCTTTGTAATGAATTCGCACATCAACAGTATATTCTGGCTTCCAATAATTAGGATCCCTGCAACATTAGTAAAAGGTTAAAGTGTCTCTCCTGGTCAGTGAATCAAATACTTCAGTGAATCAAAGACTAATACTATACTCTTGCTTGAGACTTAATGAAGATCTAAAACCTGTTGCAGTTACATTTTCTCGTTCTTAAGCTCAGTATGTGTTAAGAGGCCATTTTCTGGAGGGTTTTTTTTGTAATGCCTTGATCAGCCTTACTGGGATATGGATAATCACGTATCACATGGCTGAGCTGAGGGCTGCTTACAGATGAAGTCACACTCTGGCAGTTGCTTCACAAATCATAGCTAATTTAGAAGTGGCTAAGGTGCACAAATCAGAGCATAACACATTTTCTCCATTCTCTGGTGTCCAGACCAGATCTGAAATATAATTTGGGGTCTTAGACAAATTTAGGTGCTATAGACCAAAACCTGAATTCTGAAAATGATCACTGGTCAGGGTCATCTAGTTCAACTGCCCTGCCAGAGCAGGATTACGTAGAGTAGGTCACACAGGAACCTTTCCAGGCATGTTTTGAATGTCTCCAGAGAAGGAGACTCCACAACCTCCCTGGGCAGCCTGTTCCAGTGCTGTTACTCTCACAGTGAAAAAGTTTTTCCTAATGTTTTTGTGGAACTCCTATGCTTCAGCACCCATTGCCGGTTTTCCTATCATTGGACATTCCTTAGTCTATAAGTGGGATTCCACCACTCCTCATATTCCAAGAGTCCATGTATAGGCACTTCTGTATTAGCACAATGATTTTCATAAATTACTAGTATCAATAAATGCTGGGGCATTAAGATGATTGAGGTTCTGGTTATAATATAAAACACATCAATGCTTTAAAATTGATTTAGGACTTTATTAAGCCAGAATGCATTTGACATAGACTTTGTGTGCTGTTTCAAAAGCATTTATACATTTTATATTTTCAATCATGAATAATTCTGCAGAGTTCCTGGGGTATATATCACCCTCATAAATTACATACATATAAATTTAGATGCAATTGTACCTGCATTTGTAGAATATCGATATAAAAGTTAGTATAGTTTTATTTCTAGAGATACCTGCCAGGTTGCATGAAAAATACATTTTATTTAGAATTTCCTTGACAATATTTGCAGAACATCACTAGGCACTTCTAAATCATTGAAGTATTTATCTCTTGCTGACTACTGCTTATTTCTGACACAGTGGGAATGTAAAAGCATTGATTCTTTAAAGTATTATTAAAATTATTTGGCTCTTGTCATAGTCTCACATCTTTTTCCTTGTTTTTCCCTGCTCTTACTCACTTCTTTACTATATTTCCACTAAAAACATCTCTTACAGTACTGCTAGCATTACCACAGTGTAGACAGCTCTTCAGACTCTTGAAAGTCTTAAATTTGATCCTTCATCGCTCTGTCACATTGAACTAAAATGTAATAATGTAATTATCATTTATCCCTCTTGTACCTACATGATATTCTGTGGTTTAAAAAAAGCTTCTTTTGTTTCCTTTTGAATTCTAGTGAAAGGTAACCCTCTGCATTCCTAACTAAGCCAATTTATCCCTTAACACCTCTTTAATTCAGATGCTTACCAGTCCTTCATTCTTGGCCACTATCTATTAAAAGATAACTGGAGGATATTCCATTTACCTTTGATCCCCAATATTCCTTAAGAGGCCACAAAGCCTGGAAATTAAAATGTATGTCCAATAGGAGTAGTAAAAAGTATAATTAATACAAAATTGGTTAGAAGTATGGAAAGACTTCAAAATGAACAAAGACTGAAACTTCAGTATCTTTTAGTTCAGAAAGAAGAGACACAGATAAAGTTTCTAGAATAACAAAGGGTACAAGAATGTGCAAATTACTATACACTATAAAACAGTGCAATTGGAAAGAACTTTAAAGACAACATGTGCAAGTCTGTTTCCATCACACAAAGTGCAACAAATTGTGATACGACTGATGTCAAGAGCTTGGCATAATTAATTATCCTGTATACATTTTGTCCCACTAATATATATTCCGTTGCATTTAATGTGGTAAAAATAAAGAGATGTGAGCAGTCATGTAACTTGGCAAGTTAACTTCCCTGTGATGAGATGTTGGCAGATACTGCGCTAGACACACTGATTGCTTAACCTGTAGTTGTTAAAAAAAGACATTGCAATGACCTGATACAACAATTTAATTTCTCTGTGTGTGCAAATATAATAGATTTTAAAAGGCTTAAGCTTGTTTGTGTGAAATTTTCTTTCTCCTTTCCTCTCTGAACATTCATCACTGCACATTCAGTCTTGTCTTCACACACGGGGTTTTTTGGCATTTATACTTGCAGGATTAATAACATCAGTCTCTCTTTTTTAAGCTATACTTAATTCATATTAATTAGTTAACTGTAATTACAATGATTTTCCCTGACAAGATTTTTTAATAGCCATTAGACATCAGGAGTTGTATTTCCAAAGTTTTAACATTTGCGATACCTATTATATCTGTGCGAATGGAGTCATAGAGCAAGTCTATGGGTTTGTAGACTTTTAATGAAAACATGTCAGCGCTGCCATCTTTTGGACATTCATCTGTTATGAAAAACTAGGATCTGACTAGTGAAGACATTGTTCATGAGGGATGTGGGGAAAATGTCAAAGAATTAACTTTGAAAAAATATCTTGCTCTGGACTTTGATTCCATTCTTAAAAATGCATTCATGCTTACAAGCATGTAGTTGTGTGTGTGTAGAGATCTCCCCACATTAAACGCTGTGTGTAGTGTAGTTTGTGACCTAAAATCTTAAAATACATTGCAGTTACCTTTTTCTGTGCTGTTTAAAGAATTTAGTCATGCATTCCTCACATGGAATTAATTTTGCTTATGGAAACACAATTTCCATTAGAACATTTTAGATGTATTTGTCCTCATTGCATTTAAAGTGTTTATTTGGGGGCCTGAGTATTCAAAATTGTATTTTCTGTGAAAGGTGAAAAGCTGAACTGATTAGTCCAAACCAGAAAAAAACCCAAACACTCTGCTTTACATGAATAAAAAGAAAAATATCCTTCTAGATAAATGTTGGAAGCTGTTACATGAATGTCTAAGACAGGTATAGCTCTTCAGGAAGAAACATTCCTGCCTTCCCTTCTTGGAAATTAAATCTGAATTTTTGGTCGTTGCTATACAGAGTACACTAATATTCCTGGCAACGTGGGTGTTTCCTTCCTTTCCCATTGAACAGAACTCCAGGAGAAAAACTTGGTCAAAAAATCAGTCAGATCAAACTGTAAGTGCCAGGTATAGTTCAGAGCTGAGGCAGCTATAGCTATCTCTCTCACTGCTTTGGAGAGCTCTACCTAAAAAACACGGACAATTTAACTGTAGGGGTGTTTCCTGTGACAATGAAATTATACCTTCTTACTTATCAATAAAGTCTTACACAGTAAGAAGGAATTTGGTTCCTGTTGACATGCTGGGTGATGGTGGAATGGCAGACGGGCTCATAGTCACCTTCCTCATTTATTATTCACTACAAGGGTACGGTGACTTGCTCCATACAATAGCTACAGATTGTTATGGGTTTCATAGCTTTGCACCAAAGTGCAAGTTCAGTTCTAGTGTCTTATTTGCCTTCCTGAAATATCAGTACAATGAGTCTGACCTATTAATATCTATTGCTGTTACAAGCTGTCATTTTAACATTCCAATATTCACCATAACTTTATATCTGTCTTTGTCAACATGCTTTCTGAAATCGAAAAATTATCAAAACCTTGTGTAGCACTCTAACAATAAAATTAAGACACATACTGGCAATATAATTATAAACAAGTCAACACTTAATTTAAATAAAAAACTTTATTAACAATGTAAAACGTTTAATATCTTACAGTCTCAGATAATTCTGACATGCCCTATAGCAGTTAATACTTAGTGATATGCAGACACCATGCTTTGAATTCTATTGGAAACAAAATGGGTTAGTGTTGTGTTTTACATTGTTTATTTTAATATACTTTCTTCTAATAAATAATTTATTTTTTCCACAAGATTGCAGAGATACTATTGGCTTAAAAGGAAATCTGTTGCTTCTATGCATTGTACAGTATATAGATATTATGACTTCTCTGTATTTACAAGTTCTAAGTGTTTTCATACATGGTTTATGTGTCATAAATTAAGATATTTTTCTATGAAGCTTGTAACTTTGAGATATAGTGGAAGAATAAATATGAATGAGAGCACAAAAAACAACTGCAGATTTTGTGCAAATTCTGTTACAATATTGTTTAAATGTTCTGGAACTTTAATACTTTTGCTCTTAAATAGTTTTCTATGCTTAAAGACTGTTAGAATATGATCAAGTATTTTAATATGATACTAGTAATAGTACTGTACTATGCACAAACTTTTAGCTGCAGTTCAAACAATAAAAAATCCTTTAAAATTATATATTAGCTGTAATTTATGTGGTTTTTCTCAAGTGATTGAAAGTAAGCATGCAAAACATATTCTAAAAAGTTTTAAAAATGTTCTTAGTAATGCTAGATCTATTCCACAGCTGTTTTTTGACAACCATAATTTTAAACTATTAAAACCTTTATTTTGAAAAGGGGATGGAGGAGAAGAGAAAAAGGAATGGGTTAGTGTAGAAAATGTATTTTGTAAGCAAGAAGAGCAATGTTCATCATTTCAGTGGTCAAATAATGCGTTTTAATCAATGTTACAATTTTCTTGGTTCTTCTGTGTTTAATCTTCTAACTTGAGACAAGACAACACAGTCCAAAGAATCTTCGCTTCCGTCTTCTTACCAATGGATATGGAGTCAAGTTTAGGAGGCTGCTATCATCTATGGTGAAAACACCCACATTTTAGTGCAAGTATGTACACATGCACACACAGAGCAGTTTGTATCATTTGTGTGTCCTAACAGCACATGCACAATCAAGTAACAGATCACATTGTTCTAGGCATAGAGCCAATAATAATCTGAATTTTGTATATAAGAGTCTTACAGTGCTAATTACCAGCATCTCCATGATAATGCAACAGAAATTTTGGCAAGAAGAACACCAGTTCTATGACAAAACTTAAACGAAACTTAAATGCACACCTTCACTACCGGGAAACCTGCATAGATGGATAATGTTAGGGTCCCAAATAAAACCTAAAGATAAGTAGCTTGATTTTGCAGACATACAAGTTTGGAAATGTCAATCCTAATTTGAACATTAAAAAATCACCAAAACATTACTGGATGGCTGTTTGTGCACATCAGGGAGAATTTCCATTTAAAACTGCAACACTGGAACATCTTGGGATATCAAGGAGAAAAAGCACTTGTCTGGGAAAGCTGGGACAATGTACTCACCCTGTTTCTGGTTAGCTTTCTAGCTTTTATATTAATTCACTTTAAATTCATACAAAATGTATACATTAGTGCCTATACTTATGTTAACTCATGCCTCATTATGTTCCTGTTCTGATTACGTTTGGACCTAGTTTTGATTGTAGGTTCTAGACACTACTGTAATACATCTATAAATAGATGACTGTAAGAACATAAGTTAGAGATCATTTAATACCGTGACTTAAGCTTGCGAAACACGTCAACTTATTTCTTAACTTTTCCGCTGTCACTTAAGAGAATTCCACACAAAAACCAGGTCCATAAGCAGTCAGTAACATTATGTAAAGCTCTCACGGGTTTGCAGTCTTAACTCTTTTCTGGTTGTCACTGAAACCAACAGCAAAATACTCACTCATTTACTCAAAGCAGATCTTGTACAGATCAACTCATTCAATAGTATTCATTCATCTCATAATCATTTCCTTAAACAATGCTTGTAATTCATATACGTATCGAAATTATGATCCAGAACTATAATGTTTTTTGTTCTATTCCTTATACTACTATCTAGCTTTAATTTACTAAAATACTGGAATTTTCAAATATTTTAAGTGCTGTATTGAAGAATAGTGTAGATATCAGAGAGCGGAGAATCCTGTATGTCTTTACCTCTGTTCTGAATTCAAGTTTCTATATACTTTATATCCAACAAATTTGTCTTTTCCTTACTTATTTTCACCATTCTCCTTTCTTCTCAGCTAGTCATAGACTTTATGGCATTTTTCCAGTGTCTACAATGGCACATCTGTATCATGTATCTTAAGCAATTCTCTTCCTCCTTTCATATAGCTTTATATCAAGCCACCTTGCCATAAACTCTTACTTGCATAATGAATTAATCTATTCTTTATTAATCTCTTACCATCTTAAGATGTGTGCTAGGCTGCTTAGTCCCTTGGGACAACATCTACGACACATTAGGCATACCTCCATCAGCTTCCACTGTGCAAAGACTACACAGCACTTGAGAAATACAAATTATCAAGAAGAAATTAAAAAGGAAAAATATTGTCTTTTTTAATGTGGTTCCCATGAAGAAAGAGAACCCTGCAGATGTCGGGTATTTAATGCTTCTGGGACAAAAAATGAAGGCCCACTGCTAAATACATGCACAGGATGGAGATCCTGCCCCTCAATGCATTTGTATTGGGAACCTTACAGTTGCCTACTGGGAAAAGCAAGCTCTTAGTAAACTTAAAGCAAGTATCTTTTCTGCATAAAGTCAGTGTCATGTCACAGAAGCTACAAGCTTTTTAGGAGTAAAGCAAACCCCACCACTCAGTAGGATCTCCATCACTTACACTTCATTACCTTCTAAAAACAAAGCCTCCTGACACAGGGAATTAGTTGTACTTCTACCTTCAGGTCACCAGGAAAAGTCTATTACATTTTATCATTAGATACCATATCTATAAAGTTCCAGAATACCTTATGTGAAACTCGAGAGGTCAAAGTTCACATTCTAAATTCTGGCTCCATTTATTCTGTAGAGAAGAGACTTCACCTAAACTTTTACTTTTTTAGCTTCTGTTAAAAAAAATAGATTTTTCTGATCTAGTGGAAGGTAAACTTTTTAATTATTTTAATTTTCATTACACAAAGAAAATACAAAACCTACCTTGATTTTTCAATGGTAAAGGCATAGTCTCCCTGAGTTTACTTAGGAGGTTTTTCATTTCTCTCATATCTCTGTGGAAACAGAAGTTGAAAGAGATACAACAGAACAGCAATTGAAGACTGGCTCACAGTATAGCTTTACATGATGAAATAACAGAGCAACAAATACAAAAATCTATTGGGCAAGTATTTGGTTCACATGCATGTACCAGAAGACGCATACCAAAATAAACAGCAGTAGATTTGATAAGAGAGTACTTTTAAGCCAGCCTAATATTAACTAGCACCTGGCTGACAATTATGATCTATTCCAGCACTTGAGTATTCCATATTAAATGAGTTGGCAGGCACACTATGATCCTAGTGGCGAAATACACAATATGCCTTAAAATTAGCATAAGCTAGCACTATTGTCAACTTAATAGACCTTTATCAGCATTTTGTAGCTTGTGCCATTAATGTGTTTCATTTTTTAGAAGGGAATTATAATACATGTAGCTAATTGATGACACTTAAGCTCCCTGCACATTAAGTAAAAATTTCTGAAACAGGGCTGTCATGTTCAGTCCTCTTAAGAAGACTCTGGAGTGAAATTTTGTAAAATTCAGAAGACAGAAAATATCATATCAAAATTAATCTCACAAAGCAAGTTACATTTGGATATGCTTTGAGAGAAGTCAGAAGTTTCTGTTTTACAGATAGATGGCAGACCAGCAATTTTGTGTACAGGTATGTAACATCTTAAGGCTTTTGGGTTTTAAAAACAATGTGGTCTTGTCTCATTTATCTACATATAGGATGACTCTTAGAAATAAAGCAGCCATGACTAATAAGAAAATGCTCAGGTTTACTCTCCAACTTTCTCAGTAGAGAAATAAATATGATAACCATTAAAATCATAGGAGCAGCTTAATATACAAAGCCATCAAAATAGCTATTTTTTGCAAAGATATATTGGCCATCAGGATCACTCCCTACTAAAGGGATCTTTGACTTTCACCTGCAAGTTAAGAGAGTAAGAGAAGTCCACTTTGACAAACCTGTGGCTTCCACATTCATAACTGTGGCCAGAAACAACTGAAGTGAACTGGATTCTGTCATTTAGATTTATGAATGCGGAATTGCGGGCCAGCAGATTTCAGGTGCAAAATCAGAAATCACTTAGGATGAAACAAAACTGTCTCTTTTAGAGAACCTGATCCAATAACAACATCATTTCCCACACTTTGTTTTTGACAATTACCCTCTCGTAATTAGGGTAATTAAGGATGTCACTTCTTTCTGCATTTTGTTTACGCGTTGCTCTCAGGTATGTCAAATGTATCAGAAATGTTAACAGGTTATTTCATTTACTAATACCTTCTGTATTAGCAACACTGGCTGCCTAACTGGAAAAGACTAAAACCCTAGACAGAAATTTGTTTTGTTTAGGAACAAAGCGCTACACATACCTTTCAGTGTTTTCAATATCTGTGGAAACCTGCCATAAGTGCTGTTGAATATCTGTTGGTGATGATGACGTGTCTTCTAAAATAGGTACTTCAGAACTTTCCTCCACTTTAGTATCTAGGATCTTGGGTACGACACAAGGTTCTTTTCCTTTAAAATATTTAAAGAAAACATATAACCCTATTATTTAATAATTAAAATGTATATTCTGGTTATGTCGTTGATGTTTTGAGCTCGATCTTGCACAGCATAAATGGAGGGAGTGGTGAATGCAAATTCTGAGCAAGAACTGTTCAGAAAGAGAGCAGACCATACCATTCTGCTAATCAGAGTCCCGCTGTATGCTACACCTAGCAAAACAAAACTAAGGGAAGTCTCACAAAAATAAGAAGGTGGTGCGTGTGGAGCTTAGAATTTACATAGTGAATACAATGAAGAGGTTCAGATAAACTCCAGTGACTCATGTGTAAAACAAAATAAGAGCCAGAGGACAAAACAGAGAAAGCTAGTAAGGAAACTACAGTATACACTCTAAAAGAAACTTCAAAAATTTTGACACTAAAGAGCATTGCAATCCAGGCCTTCTAATATTACACCAATAATAACGGAAACCAAAAGAAAAAATGTGTGGTTTTTTACTTCATAATTTTAAATGCAATACATATCTGCCGTCACTTACGGCCCACTAAGCATTATATTTTGAATTTCCATGCTTACACTTGTCTAATTCATGCTTACTGTATGAAAATGAAATGCAGTGTTGGAATTGTATAGGGGCTTCATGACAGATCTGTCAGGACTTTTGTTAGGGAGAGAATGGGATAAAAGATGTGGGCCATGATAGTGGAGCATGCAAAAGAATAAGTACTCTGGGGTTTTTTGTATCCTTGCAAACTGTGTGTAGTGCCAAGCATAGGCCTGGCACCAAATACATTTAAATCAGAAAATTCAAATTGGAGTGCATCCTGGACATGTTTTTGAGAAGTTAAAGCTTTTCTCTAAGTTCTCTTATGAAGTTGAGTACACAATCTCAGAAAGAAACAAATAAACCTTTCTAAAAATAGAGGAAAAAAGGTCCATGTTTAAATCAGTGGTATGAGGAGATGAATAGGAAATGTTTTTTCATCTCAAAATTTTTGCAGTTTGAAATATTTTCATAGGACAAGCCTGAGGCTGTCAGGTTTGACAAAGAGTAGGAAGAAAAAGAGGAGTTAATAGAGTAGTAGTCATTTAGTCTGGGACACTAAAGACCAAGGCTACAGACCATGCTACACAGCTCTTTTACTATCAGGCTTGTAACCTTTTTTCTTAAAACCACAAGTTTCTCAGTCTTAAGAACCATGCTTCTCTCTCTAAGAGACTGCATGGCCTGACACAACAAATTTATCATCTATGAAAGAATGATGTTCTTTCTCTGCTACTTACTTTGGCATCTGCTGCTAATGTGCTTTGCCAGATACCTCTGTGATGCTAGAAGATTATCCCAATAAAACGGAAAATAAAATGTGAAGTTTTCTGATGTTGCAGTGATTTAAGTCAGGTCAGTAAAGAATCCTACATGTTCAAGAGCAAGTACCAGAGGAGGAGGGTGGCCAGAAGAGGTGGAAGGGAGGGAGAAGTGAAAGCATGATAAGGGAGGAGAGACAAAAAGGAAAGGATCAAGATCTTTCTGGTGGTAGTAGGCTATTATGCTGACTCAATCACTTGCAGAACAGCAGGCTCAGCCTACTTCCCAGTTTATCTGTTTTATTATCTAACTTTCAAAGTTTTCTAGTTCTTAACTGCAGCTTATGCAGTTATTTTAAGATAATTCATATTTTACACTCATATTTTTACAATTTTGATTGTTGACTTGTGCAAGCTTTGTTATTCATTATTTTTCCCATTACAAGAACCTCATAGCACAACACACTTACCACTTCCTCACAAAAGAGGGTTGCCCCAAGGAAACATCTAATTTGCTACTGATAGCAGAAGGTGTTACTGCTGGACCTGGATATTGGTTCTCTCATTGTTTTGAAGTGTTATGTTGGAATTCTGACTTGATTTTGGTGACCTGCTGTCAAGAACAACCCAGTCTATAGATGCATGATTCATGGATGTAAAAGGTGTTTCAACAGAAATAATTACAATACTAGATGAAATGAGAGTAAAAGTTATTTTTCACAACTTGAGAACAGAAGCACTGAGACTGTGATGTTCTTTTTGTTAGCACAAAGGCAAGCGCTTGCAAATTTAGCAGGATGAATGGCACAAATTTCTTTTCAACTGAAAAGAGCTCTTTACCAGTAATTCTATTTTATTGTGAACAATTCATGAAGCCTTTCCTGAATTTAAGAGCATCTGCTCATCACTTGAAAACAGATAAAGAGTCAGCTAATAATAAACGCTTTGCTTGAATAATTTGTATGACTCAGGCTTAACATTTCTACTACATGGCACAGCCTACAGATGAAGAAAAGCTCTTTAATCTTCTCATCCTTCTAGTGGCGGTAAAGATATCTTTCGTATGACACATTCTTAAAATAGGGATATGAAACCTAAATTTTACTTTCAATTTAGGCAGAGGACTTTCATTAACTTCAGTTGGAGTTCAATCATGTGCATGGTCTTGTCAGAGGTGTCCATATGCACTTGCTATTCTTTCCAGCTGACAAGACAGGCTCTTTTTACTGTGAAATTTTAATATGAAGTGTGTATTCTTCATCTTCTAGCTTCTAATTAAGCAGTTGTTTTCACTTCAGGAAGCAGAAAATGCCTTTGGTACGAAATTAAAGTAATCAAATTAAATAATGCTGAAGATCAAACTTGAGTGAGGACAAGTAAGAGGATAAAAATAATCAGTTCAGTAAGGTAACAGACATCATCTGTGATCATTGCTTTATGTGTCTCATCTGTTGTGTCCTTACTGCTTCTGTGGTAACCTCTGTGTTTCTATTGTGCTACCATAAGCATCTACTCTTAGTTATCACCTACTTAGCAGAGAAACTTACGTAATGAAAAAACATTGATTACAGGTCTCTCAGAGCTAGTCAGATATCACTGGAGATGCGTTGAAAAGATCTTAGAGGGGAATAACAGAATTTAACAAAGCTGAGAGAATCCTTCTCAAGAAGAAGGAAGCATATGCATCAAGTTTCTAACCTGGCAATTAAGGATAAATGCATGAGCTTTAAATTACAGCTACAGTAAAAGAAAATAAGAACATAAAAAGGGGAACAGGAAAGAATTGTGAAGAAAGTAAAAAAGAAATGTGGAAAATAAGGCTAACAGCCTGATGAACATCATTCCTGACTTACACTTGGGACCTGCAGAACTCAGATACTGCCTTACTGGATACTTTATTATTAAGGAGATGAAATAGGAACAAGAAGTCTGTGATAGTAAGTTGTATTTTCCTCCTTGCATGCCTGTTCTTGATCTATTAATTTTGGCTACTTCACAGAATGAGGGATTCTCTGGTTTTTAAGTCCTTGTTTTTCCACACTTCTGTGTTTCTTTTCTCTCTCACATTTTATCCATCTTGTGAGAGTAGTGTGTAAGTAACTACATATATCTCCCAGTCTTTAAAGAGAATCATAAAATATTTTGGGCTGGAAGGGACATTTAAAGGTCATCTAGTCCAACCCTCCTGCAGTGAGCAGGGACATCTTTAACTGGATCAGGTTGCTCAGAGCTCCATCAAGCCTGACCTTGAATGTCTCCAGGGATGGAGCCTCCACCATCCCTCTGGGCAACCTGTGCCAGTGTTTCACCACCCTCATAGGGAAGAATTTTTTTCTAACATCTAATCTAAATCTACCCTCCTCTAGTTTAAAACCATTGCCCCTCATCCTGTCGCTACATGTTCTTGCAAACAGGTCCTCACCAGCTTTCCTGTAGGCCCTCTTCAGGTACTGGAAGGCTGCTATAAGGTCTCCCTGGAGCCTTCTCTTCCCCAGGCTGAACAACCCCAACTCTCTCAGTCTGTCCTCGTAGGGGAGGTGCCCCAGCCCTCTGATCATTTTTGTGGCCCTCCTCTGGACCCACTCCGACAGGTCCACGTCCGTCTTGTGTTGAGGGCTCCACAGCTGGATGCAGTACTCCAGATGAGGTCTCACCAGAGCAGTGGGGCAGAATCGCTTCTCTCAATCTGCTGGCCATGCTTCTTCTCATGCAGCCCAGGATGTGATTGACCGTCTCGTCTGTGAGCATCCATTGGTGGCTCATGTCCAGCTTTTTGTCCACCAACACCTCCAAGTCCTTTTGCACAGGGCAGCTCTCTAGCACATCATCCTCCAGCCTGTACTGATGATAGGGATTGCTGTGACCCAGGTGCTGGACCTTATACTTGGCCGTGTTGAACCTCATGAGGGTCACATGGGCCCACTTCTCCAGCTTGTTCAGGTCCCTCTGGAGGACAATCTGTCCCTCTGGGCATCAACTGCACCACTAAGCTTGGTGTCATCTGCAGACTTGCTGAGGGTGCACTTAATACCATTGTCTATGTCATTGATCAAGATATTGAAGAACAGTGGTCCCAGTGCATTCCCCTGAGGAACACCACTTGTCAGCTGTCTCTATCTGGACACCGAGCCGTTGACCACAACCCTCTGGGTGTGACCATCCAAGCAGTTCCTTATCCATCGAACAGTCCACTCAACAAATCCACATTTCTCCAATTTTGAGAGAAGGATGTTGTGGGGGACTGGGTCAAAGGCCTTGCAGAAGTCCAGACAGACGACATCCATTGCTCTTCCCTTGTCTGCTAGTTTAGTCACTCCATTGCACAAAGCCACTAGATTGTTCAGGCAGGACTTGCCCTTGGTGAAGCCATGGTGGCTGTCTTGAATCACCTCCCTGTCCTCCATGTGCCTTAGCAGATCCTTTAGGAGCATCTGTTCCATGATCTTCCCAGGCACAGAAGTGAAGCTGACAGGTCGGTAGTTCCCAGGGTCTTCCTGTCTATCCTTTTTAAACACAGGTGTAATGTTTCCCTTCTTCCAGTCACCAGGGCCTTCACCTGACTGCCGTGATTCTTCAAATATATGGCAACTACATCAGCCAGTTCCCTCAGGACTCTGGGATGCATCTCATCAGGTCCCATAGACTCACCTATATTCAGGTTCCTCAGATAGTCATGAACCTGACCATCCACTTCGTCCACTTGG